TCAGATACCCCTGAAGTCTGGCCTTTTCACTAATGGTTTCAAAAACAACTGTATCTAGTTGATACCTCTCAACCTCACGCACAAGCTCAGGCTCCTTCCCTGCCTGAGAGGTTACAGGTATGTCCAATGAGCCAGCTTTGATACGCCAGGGTCAGAGTGCCAAGACACCCACCCTTCAGCCACTGTCCATTATGCACCTGACTCATATGGACCCTCCTGCAGGTGGTATAGTCCTCATGAGTGGAGACCTAGTCACAGACACTCACCAACAAGCCCCTCCTGCAGGCCTGGATCCAGGATGGGGCCCCAGTAATCCACATCTGGGCAAGGGACATCGAGCTGGGTTTTAATTTTTTTGTCCATGCAAGTGTTGTCTTTTTCTTATCCTTTCAAATCCCAGATGTTCGAGGCAGGTGGTTGTCCACCTTAAACCTAGTTCTTCTACTGAGCCTACCTTTCTCCTGTTAAAAGGGAGTTGGGTCTTTCCACTGTTGCCAATGTGCTGCTCGGGATGAGAATTGTACCCAAGTAAAGATATGATGCATTTTGCTGGATTTTAGATGATAACTTATACTAAGTGGTATTTTTACATACACCAGGAATTTAACTGCAGTGTTGTAATATTATCAGACCACATGACTACGTCACAAGTCTTTATGCATGCCCTCGTGTCGCCTTTCATCTATGATTTTAATAAATTCGAACACTTGGTAAAATGACAATTTAGAATTTGGGGTAAAATCCGAAATATATTTTTTTCTTCCCTAAACTAAACTCAAATCTCACAATAATCCTGCTGAGCTAAAAGCTATTAACTGACATTAATTTCCATATCAGATATTAATCTACTTTACAAACTGACTCAGATTCTTACCCACTGTCCCCCACATGCACTACATCTAGCTGAAACTGGTCTGGAGCAGTGTAATCCCAGTCTAAAGCACAATTAACAGGGGATTATGGAGCCTAAATCTTTCCAGTAATTCCTGACAGTGTACCTTATGGGAAAAAAGCATGAGAGGTCCTAATAATTTTATCTTCATACCTTGTGAAAAACCGTTAGCCTTTTCTTGATTTTACACACTCTGTTTGTATTTATGTTGTTCTTTCACATCCTCTTTTATAATTTTGTTTTCCATCTGCATCACGTGGTTCCACAGAGCTGAGGTTTTAAAAATGGTGACAATCACTTGGTGAAATCATTTTAATGCTGTTGTGAGAGAGGAAACCTTTCAGCTCTCACATTTTAATAAGAATAAATTACAAACTGGAAGACATATTAGTGTTCACTTGATCACGTCTGGGTTTTAAAGAGAAACAATATAAGGATCTAAGATATACACTAAGATATACGTTAAACATTAATAATGTAAAACAATATGGCGTATAACAGCAGCCGGAACATGAGTCTGTGTGAGCAGATGGGTACAAATGAATACAACAGCATGAAATAATCAGCAGCATGAGATCAGCATGGATAATCAGCAGCACATATCACCATTCAAAGTGGCATTACAGTGATTTTTTTTTCTCACAGTGATTATCCTGGTTAGGGATTTATGAGTCTAACAGCTTCAGGGTAGAAGCTGTTCCTCAGTCTAGTGGTTCTACACTTAACGCTCTGCAACCTTCTGCCTGAGGGGAGGGGGGCAAAAAGTGTGTGCTGGGTGAGTGGGGTCCTTCATGATGCAGGTGACCCTCTTCCGGAGGTGTAGATGTTTGTGATAGTGGGCTCAGCTTTATTGCTATTAATATTGCTAATATTGTGTTTTGTTTTCTTGGCTGTTAATAAATATCCTGGAGTCACCCCTCATTTCCTTTAAGACACTCTGTTGTGGTAGACTCTCAATGCTGCAGCCTCACTCTTATCTTTTTATAATTTAGTCAACCTTCCTCTTTTATAGATCAGACCACTGATTTTGACTTAATTTAGGGGCTTTGTGCATTCGTATTTTCTACTCTGAACCACCCTCCAGCAAGGAGATGATTCCTGGTAGTGCGCTCTGCTGATGCAATGTGGTGGTGCTATTACAGCCCATCAACCGGTTCAGACTGGACTGATGGCAACATGAACAATGTTAGAGGAAGGAGCTCAGCCGGTCACAGCACCCACTCTTAGAACACCATTCTCTAACTTTAAGCTCTAAAGATGAAGACACAGGTTATAAAAGAGCGAGTTCAAATAGTCAAACTGGTCACTTTAACTTCCCATACAGCTGATGACCAGTAAAAGAGAAATCGTTTAGAGCCAGCAGTTAAAAAAAAAACAAAAAAAAAACACTGCACGTGACTGTGCACGTGTCATGTTAAAGCTCATTTACCTATTGTTGTAACAGCGTTATACATGGGGGAATAAACAAGTAGAGACAGGCAGCAGAGACTTGCGTGCTTGCGGAGAGACACGGAGCGTGCGCGCTGCGCTCCAGACGCGCAGGAGGAGGAAGCGCACCGCTTCCTCTGCTGCTGCTGGACCAGCAAGAACAGCTTTGAACCGGTTTTTGTCACCGGCTACAAAGCAGTGTCAAATACACAATGAACGCACACAATTGATGCAGAGCGTTCCCGTCACACGCACAGACCTCGCAGGTCCTCCACGCAAGGCAAGCACCCGTGCGGGATGTTTTGTCGTTGATGTCATTCTTTTTTTTCTTGAAGATTTTCTTAGAGGAGATCTCTTGGTTCCATGAAAAAGTTCCCGCAGAGCGCGCAGCTCTTCAGCCAGCTGCTGCTGCTGTAGATGCTCAGGTGAGTACTGCGTTTTATTTAATTTAACAGAATAACAAGCACGTGTCTGGGTGCACGACTTCCAGCATATGAGGAAAACAAAACAGGTTTAGGGTATCCAGTAATAAGACCCTGCTGGTTTTCTTCAAAACATTTTTTTTAGTGTTGCTTTCTTCTAATAATGCTGTTTTTTTTTTTTCTTTGTGTGTTTGGCAATCTTATACAAGTAATGAAAAATAACAATCTGCATCCAGTAGGGCTTTAACATCAACTTTTTATTCTATAAATTTGCTCAAAAACAACATGGCTGCAGTGATGGGCCTCGACAAACTTCATGCCTGAGCTGAATCATGGAGGAGGCAGATTAAAAAAAGATACCTTGTAGACCAGGGCTGCCTCACATTCTCCTCCTCCAACAAGGTGTGGTTAGAAACAAAAAGCATTAAATAGGGGCAGCTGGCTGTGGGTAAGTTGCAGTCTCTTGGAGCTCAGGACCTCACACACAGGTGACTGCCCAGGCCAGGAGTTACAGCAGCTCCATCAAGGCTAGGAGTAAGTTATTAGAGCTTTAGCATTAGCGATTTTCATCCTTTTAATATTATATATTTATATATATATATATATATAATTTTTATTTTTTTTTAAATATAATGCAGTGTTTCCTGTTTCTGTTCCTCACAGGATCTTCTCCTCAGTCAAAGCTGTAACTGATCCCGGATTGGCCAGAACAACATCAGCACCATGACTTCGTCCACTAAAAACCTGGATGGAGGCTGGGGCTGGGCGATCGTTGCTGCATCTTTTATGGCCCAGCTCCTGGCCTATGGATCACCGCAGTCCGTGGGTGTCCTGTACCCTGAGTGGCTGCACACCTACCAAGAGGGCAAGGGCATGACTGCCTGGGTGGGCTCTCTTGTGGCAGGAGTGGGATTAATCGCCAGTGAGTAGCACAGCAAACTGAAGTGCAGGTCCACATTTCACTTCAAGAGGCAAACAGGACAGACATTTTGACAAAAATTAATGTAAATTAGGACCAATTTTTGCAATTCTTTGTTGTTTGTTTATGTAGCATTTTATGTTTTTATAGTAAACAGTGCGTTAGGACTAATATCATGACTAATAGTTTGCTAAAGCGTGCGCTTAAGTTACTGAATGTTGCACTCCACACAGCTTTACACTTGTTCAACCAGTTCTTTCCATGTCATAAACACACATGATGCAGCTGATAACAGAGGAGACACAATGCATGTCCAAAGTCTGAATAATGGATACAATGTAAAAGAGCAACTAAACTACCTGAACAGTTTGCTTACTGCGATACATCAACAGATAGGGAGTTGCTTCATGAAAGCAGGCGCTTTGTCTCCCTGAGCAGAGTTGCTGGGATTGATTTTCTACGATAGCAAAGTCATCTATGCTATGAGCGGATTACTTAGCCCCTAACCACTCACTGATGGAGAAAATTAGAAACAAATAAGAAGGAACCCCAGAAATGTTAGTATTGGTTTTTAGTTCTTTTTAATAAACCAATGTAAACAAGAGAAGTTATAGCAAAAAATGTGGCACCATATGAGGAAATGGCTATGCTTAAATGTTTAAAAATATGTTTGGTCTATGATCTGCACCTCCAGGAGCGCTGACAAACCGGAGCAAACCTGTAGCCTTAGTTGACATTTCAGTCTAAGGCAGGGCTTTGACTCTTAGCCTGGCTGCTAGCTGTCTTTTTCAGAAAGGAGTGAAATGAAGCTCACGACTGAACAGATTTGGCTTCGTGCCCTTGGCAAATCCTGAACACGTGTCCCAGATGTGAGCTGGCGGTTGAGCTGCAGTTCCAGCCAGACGACAGCAGGGTCTCCCCACAGTACACAGAAAGAAATCATCATCAGAGTCTTGTAGAGGAAGAGTTCAGTAAGGATGCAACCTCAGGGTGTGAGCTGTAATCAGAGAAGAGACCAAGAAAGCTCATTTTACTTAGTTACACCCTGTATGATCATGAGATCTACTGATACGACATGACTCAAATGTATTGTAGTAAACCTTTATTAGAGGAAAAACATCTAGTGTCACGTGACAATTTAAAAGGCGCATGTCAGGATGAGTGTGCTTTTGTCAAAGTCTTTTAAAGAAAAACATAAAGCAGCAAAAATCCCGTCTTTATTACTTTGATACGTTTGATCGTCTTATGCTGACCTTTTCTTTGCATCTCTTTCTGACTCTCTCTACCTTCTCCCTCAGGTCCCATCTGCAGTGCCTGTGTAGACAACTTTGGAGCTCGCCCTGTGACCATCTTCAGCGGCGTAATGGTGGCGGGCGGCTTGATGCTCAGCGCCTTCGCTCCAAATGTTCAGTTCCTCATCTTTTCTTATGGGATCATTGTTGGTAAGGACGCTAAACCATAAAGATGGAGGTTATCCTTCTATATGCAAATATATTCTATACATAGATTTAAAAAAAAAATGCCATTATGAAATTTCTTTGCGAATATGGATCTTCTTGGTGAATTATTGTATTATTATTAAAAACAAGCAAGAGCACGTCAGCTCTGTTATGTAACATCAGAAGCTGACTGTACCCTGAATTACTAGTTAATGAATACCACCGGTGCTGATATTAGGAAGACAAGATGTCCATTAACTTTGCCACTTTATATAACATCACTGACTGGGTTGACAAAAGAAAAATTAGGGCTTTTACAGCCTTTGTGCCGTCACCAGTGGTCATGCATGGACACTGCACCACCTGTTCCTGCATAATTAACGACTGTCCAGTCGTGCTTAATTCTCATGAACTCTGTCACCGTTTGCACTTTGTAACAGGCATCACTGGCGAGGAAAGGATATGCATATTTGAAGAAAGTGATTTATTTTTAGACATACTCTTAGGATAGCTGACTGTCGCTGAAAAAGTACCTGTACCTAACTTGTTTACCGTTCATGACCTGTTCTGCCAAGTGGTAAAACGGCAAAACGCACAGTGCCCTTTTAACTAACACGCTTATTTAAGAGTTTACACAAACACACAAAGAAAAACACACTGATTTTTTTTTCTGCACTTTTTTTGGATCAGACATATATATTTATTTAATATGCATTAATTCTATTTTCCAAATCTGACATTTCTTTTTTTTTGTGTTCATGATTTTACTCATAGACACACCAACTGCAGTTCACTAAGCCAATTCCAATTTTGATATTTAAACTTTGACCTCCCAATTTACCAACTGCACACTCCTTTACCCCAAAAACTAATACATGTTGGCATAGAAAATATTTTCTTTCATTTTCTGGTTGAAACTAAAATGTTATTCTGTAGTGAAACATTTACAAATTTCAAAATAAAATGTTCAAGATCACCAGAAACATGGTTTATACAAATAAAGTTGATCTCAAAAGAAAGAAAAGTAAATAAAATTACAGTAATAATTCTATTAGACTGTTAAATTATTATTATTATTTACAATTTATTGTATCTCGCATGAAGATCTACAGTTTGATAATTCTAAATAATCATCCATTTTTTTTACTTTCAATTTCTATGATTGTGGCAACTACCGCCACAAAATACTTCAGCCTTTTTGTTACTGAGCACATTTTTTGAAAATACATCCATTTTTTTAAAAAATTTTTTTTTACACACTTCTTCCTTTCGGGTCACAGGGTTCACTGGTGCCTATATCCAGCCATCACTGTGGGAGAGGTAGGGGACACCCTGGACAGGTCTCCAGTCCATCACAGGGACACATAGACGAACAACCATTCACTCTCACTCACACCTAGGGAGAGTTTAGAGTTACCAATCAGCCTAACGTGCATGTTTTTGGTCTATGGGAGGAAATTTGTGAAAACCCACACATGGTTTTTGGAGACCATGCAAGCTCCACCCAGAAATGTCCCCAGCTGAAATGTAATCTGGCAACCTTCTCGCTGAGAGGCGGCAGCTCTATCAACTGCACCACCTAGACAATCCTTTTGGTTTTAAAACAACTTCTTTCACCTGAGTTTTTTTTTTTATACCAAGACAAACCAGTCAAATTAAAAACTGTCTGATTCAGATCACATTCTGAGCATTTGGTGCATCTGAACCTTTTTACCCATTTCACCAGGGCTAACAATACATTTTCTTCCTTTGATCCTAGGTCTTGGTTGTGGGCTTGTTTACGCAGCCACCTTGACAATCACCTGTCAGTATTTTGACAAGAGACGTGGCCTGGCCCTTGGCATTGTCACCACAGGTATTCCCATCTTCCTCTGCTAATTTCTGGGTGCACACCTTTTCCCCATTCTCATTTCTTCTATGTATAAGTTGCTGGGAGCTCTAGAAAGCAAAGGCAAACATCTGCTGTGCAGCAAACCTAGAATAGTCTGTTAGATAGACATAAAGACTGAGGACCTGTTACCAGTTCTGGCTCAGATGAAACTTAAAGCACTATGGTAACAGCTTGGGGTATGTAACTTTAGATGTTAGGATGGGTGCCACCAGCAGCAAAAGTACTGATCCATCTCACTGTGTAAACTTTTCATTATGGTGTTGTTCTTATGCAAATTAAAGATAAACTACACTTTGGCTTAAAAATGTAATAGTATGTCTATTTTTATTAAATAAACACATATTTTGTTTGTCTTTTCCTATGATTCAGGAACAAGCGTTGGCGCATTCATCTATGCCACTGCTCAGAACGAGCTGATTGTGTTGTTTGGACTGGATGCCTGCTTGCTCATCATTGGCGCTATAGCACTAAACCTCATGGCTTGCGCTGGTTTCATGAGACCCCTTTACATGCCGGGGTACTACCTCAAACAAAAGGCCGCCTTGGAACGCAACACAGAAGAGCAGTTCTTCATGAAGCCACCCTTGGATGATTTGAAGGCCACAACGGGGACAAACACACCTACTCAGGAGAAAGCTCTCTCAGTGAAGGAGTTGCTCATCACCATCGATTCCAAGGACTTGTCTATTCAGACAGAGAAGAAAGAAGGTTCTCTGGTTGGTTCAGCCATTGTGAAAGCAATCAAAAAGAAACAGAAGGCTTACTCCAAGTACATGAATTTGTTGTGTGAGATCTTGCAGGACCAAACCATGGTGGCCTTCTGCATTGCTATCTTCCTGTTCAGTCTGGGTGCATTTCCACCAGTCCTTTTTATTGAAGACGTGGCTCAAAGTGAAGGACTTATTGAAGAAGTTAGCGTCATCCCTCTTGTATCAATTGGGGCTATTGCCACTTGCATAGGCAAACTGGCTCTGGGGGTCCTGGCAGATTTCAGGTGGATCAACAGTATCTATTTGTACGCCTTCACAATGTTTGCAGGAGGTATGGCACTGCTCCTTATCCCCATCACCAAAAGTTATATGGGACTGCAGATTCTGACTGCCATCCTTGGTTTCTTCTCTGGAAATTGGTCACTCACTTCGTACATTACCACTAAGATCGTTGGCTTGGACAGACTCACACAAGCCCATGGCATCCTCATGTTCTTTGGGGGATTTGGAATCATGCTTGGACCCCCTATTGTAGGTAAGAGGCTTGTCATTAACATAAGCCAAAAAAACGACAAAGTCAGTTGTAAGGCCAAGACGAATACTACATTAAGTAGCTGGTATACTTATGTTGACTTCAGTAGAAGCTAGCTTGTTGTATCTTGTTATCTTACAGCTGTACTGATTGTGCTAACCATGTTTGTTCTCTCAACTTTCCAGGATGGTTCTTTGACTGGACACAGTCTTATGACTTGGCGTTCTACTTCAGTGGGGGCTGTGTTCTGTTGGGCGCATTCATTCTGTTTTTTCTCAGCCTTCCCTGCTGGAACAGGAAGGGCACTGAGATTGATAAACCAGACATTCAATACACCAGCAACTGTGACAAAGTTGCTTCTGTTGCCTGAGTATGATCGCCTTTTACAATAACTCAAATATATCACTTGCTGCTCACTGTCTTTCCCTGAATTATGCCAAAATCATCTCTTGGCGATTTTTTGTTTGACCATGATGGGTGTATCGTCTTTATTTCTTCTGCCATATTTTTGGAAATACAGGCCTTTCCTTCGTTCTGTGCCTGCATTTCTCAAGTTCATCCAACACATTTGAAGGTCTGGCTCCGATGCGTATGATGATTATGTTTTCATTATTATGACCTCATTTTACGAGGTTAAGAGAACAATGTTAAAATCCTAAATTCTACTTTGTTTGTGTAGAGGCTGTTTTATTTTCCTAGATTTAATTGTAGCTCTAAAAATGTGAAATGTTACCGACATTACAGTGGGAAAACGTTCTGTAAACTGTCAAATAATAATAGCACAGTAATATCATCTGCACATAAAACCATCTTTTTACTGCAGTAGAACATTGTATTAAATGAATGAAACCTGTATTGATGGTCATAAATACTTTTTTTTTTTGTATTTTAATATACATTATTTTGCCACTGTATACAGTATGTTACCAAAGCATCAATAACAGTCAATGCCTGTCATCACATTTTGCCTGTTGAATCAGGACAAAAGCCTTGCTTTCACGTGCATTTCAATGATCAAGTACATCAAGTTGACTCCTATTTTTAAGCAACCTGAGTTTTTCCAACCTCTTGTGTCTGGATTAGGTGGATGTTAATTTATGATTGAGTTGCGAAAAAAAAAACCTGTAACATCACTGAGACAATCTGACCGCATTTTCAACATTTTAAACATGTTGATTCACTTTGCGGCAAGTACGTTTATCACAACCTTGCTGCCATTCAATATGTCCTGGCTGGGCTTTTTTAATTACATTATTTTTGTTCATGTGTGATTTTTGTATGTGTCTGCACATGCATGTCCACATGGTTGTATGTGTGTGTATTGTTTAGTAAACTTTTGTATTCTAGTTTGTAAAGCTTTATGTACTTGTAACTTTTATATGCACAAAACTTGGCACAGAGCTGTTGAAATCTTGTGTTAAGGTTGATAACTGTTGTTATAATTGCAGTTGTAACATTTTCTCAGGCTGTTAAAATCTTGTGTTGTTAAAAAAAGACCACTACAAATGCCTTTGATAGCTTCAGTTTCCGGTTGAGTGTAAATCTGGGACATTACCATTTGCATTTTTGTTTCTTTACAAGGTCCAAATTTGATACTGTAGAAATTAGACTGTTTTACTAGTGTATTTTTTATTTCAACATTGTAATATTTATGCCTTTTTAATTGTTTTATTTAAAATGTGTCAATAAAAACATTTGGAACAATTTCTAATACATTTGTTTTGAAGTCCTAAAATGCTTGAAATTCATTTTTGTCACCAGTAAACAGTCACACAAAGCATTTTTTTTGGGCAATATTTCCACTTACAGTAAGTTCCTTCTGGAATAATCATATACTTGGGTGAGCCATTTACACATGATTCAATGGGTTTCAATTATTGAAATACATTATACTATTAATATTGTATCATATCTGTCATCATAATACATATTGATGTTTCAGTGAGGTTTCTCCAAAAATTTTGGTAGGGTGTTCTAAATCAAATCTAAAATTCCAGTCTTGTTACTTTGATATCAGTATTTACATTTCAAAATTACATTTCTACAAGTCAGAATTTAAATTAACTACTGGGGGGGAAAAGTTTTTGAAAATATTCAATACAATTATATTAGAATACATTACTATGTGTTAAAAATTGTTCAAGAAGCCATGTTAATGTTCATAACAATTAATTTTATATAAAACTTTTTTTTTTTTTTTTTACACCCATCTGCAAATTAAGAGTTCAGATTTTGTAGAACTATGATAAATTGGCTTGCCTACACCCACTCTACTTCTCTTGGCAACCTTGCCACCAGTCGTCATGGTTACAAATGTGTCACGTGGCTGGTAACGTAAACAAATTTCGAGGGAAGCTAGCGTTGGAGAATTAAGCTAACTACGCTGTCTTAAATCTTTTTAAGTCGCTGTAAACTTTCCGTTGGGATGTGAAGACGATGGCAATAACTATTAATCGCAATATGACGGGATTTACAAAAGTTTTATTCAGTGGAGCATTGTTTCCAAAAGGGAAAAATCCGACTACAACAGAAATGGAGAGCTGTCTCAGTTCGCTGAGCTGAAAAATGGGTGCAAGCGCTTCATTATCCCTCTGTGTAAGTTTACCTAAGAACATTTGGTATGTTCCTTTACGCTTTGTTAGTTTTGTCCCATTTTTGCAGCCACTTTGCTCAATCCAATAGCTAGTGTGAGCTCCTGCACGTTTTGTTTTATTAAAAGAAAATGTAATTGTGTACAAGTATCTAGTTGTTGCTAGGAAGCTGTAATTTTAACGTGTGCCAGGGGTTTAAAGTTAAAGATCTTCAAGGTTGAGAACAGAGAAATTATACAATTAAAATAGTCACATCACAACACAATTCATTAACTGTAAATATTAAACATAAATACTTTTTGTGTTGTGTTGAATACTAAAATATATATTTTTAAATATCTGTGCCGTTTGTAATATCTTGAAAATTATGCATATTCAAGGTTTACATCAGATCTCATCAGAATACCCAAACTACGAATGCAGTCTTGTTTTTACCTTTTTTGCAAGTTGTGTTTATTTGTCTTGTGCAAGGTTAACAGGGTTAACTGTAATGAAATGCTTAGGATGAGAAGAACTGATCTGACTCGCTAAAATAATCAAAGAACAAACTAACAAGAAAATACATAAAGCATGCCACAAGGGTACACAAAAAAAGTACCAAAAAGTGAAAAAGTAATTAAAATATTTACAATGTCCTAAAGAGAGATATTGAGCAACAACATGTTGGTAGAATATATTGGTGCAGCAGGATGAATTTGAATGAATACGTATTTCGACGTAGTAATATAAGCTAAAAGGCGCATGATGATATATACTGATACACACACACACACACACACACACACACACACACACACACACACACATATATATATATATATATACATATACACACTGCACATAATCATATACCACACGGGTTGTGTGACAGGTTATTGCACAGGTAGTGACACTGAGGTTGAACTATTAGTTAGTTATTGTCAGTTGTTCAGTGTTATTTATTGAGAGTTCAGTAATCTGACAGCTTGTGGATAATAGCTGTCCTTTAGTCTTTTTGTACGCGATGGCAGACTCCTGTATCATCTGCCTGAGGGTAGTAGATGAAAGAATCCTTGTGCTGGGTGGGTGTGGTCCTTAATGATGCTGCATGCTTTACGCATATATTGGCTGTGATAGATGTCCTGGATGGTGTGGAGACTGCTACCATTGATGTCCTCTGCTGTTTGCACCACCCTCTGTAGAGCTTTCTGACTCTGGCTAGTGCAGTTCATGTACCACCCTGTGATGCAGCCTGTCAGCAGGCTCTCAGTGGTGCACCTATATAAGTTGGTGAGGATGCTGGTGTTTAAAATGTTTGGAACTTGAAGCTGCTGACTTGCTCCACCTCAGCGCTGTTTATGTTGATCGTGGAGTGCTGGCCTCCACGTTGTTTCCTGAAGTCCACTATCATCTCCTTTGTTTTGCTGACATTAAGAGAGAGGTTATTTTCCTGACACCAGCTGGTCAGTGATTTCACCTCGTCTCTGTAGGCACTCTCGTCGTTGTTGGTGATGAGGCCCAGGATGTTGGTGTCATCAGCATACTTGAGGATGACGTTAGAGCTGTGTTTAGTGATACAGTCATGTAAATTTAAGTACGTAATGTAAGTCACGTAAGTAAGTATGTAAGTCATGTTTATTTTCTAAACATAACGTCCCAGTGGCTTTTAAGCCCCAAAATACGTTACGGCAAAGACTGGTTCATCCCAAAGATCCAGTCCCCCGGCACAAACAGAGTAATGTTGTGTATGCTGTTCAGTGTCAGGAGGGCTGTGATCAGTCTTACATCGGGGAAACAAAACAGCCACTGGCCAAAAGGATGGACCAGCACAGAAGATCAACATCATCAGGCCAGGACTCTGCGGTCTACACTCATCTCCAGGCCAGCGATCACTCTTTCAGGGATGAAGATGTTCACATCCTGGATAGAGAGGAACGATGGTTTGAGAGAAGAGTAAAGGAGGCCATCTTTGTGAAAAGAAATCGTCCATCATTAAACAGGGGTCAGGCCTCCGGGTTCAACTGTCCCCCTCTTACAATGCTGTGATTGCTAGTATCACTCAGCCCTCTGTGAATAGTAAACAGCCATCAGTGTGGTAATGATCCATTGTTAGGCTGATGGTCCTTCTTGAGCATGTGAGCAGCTGGTTTTGGTTGTCAGCAGCAAAACTGGTTGATCCACTCTGAGAAGGTGCTATTTAAGAGACTGAGCTGAATACAGCTCCTCAGACTGAAGAAGTCTCTCGGATGAAAGACAGTTTTAAAATTTTTTTTGCTTTGATTTTTTAAAAAAATTTTTAATGTCCAGAGGACCAAATTGAACTTTTTTGGATTTTTCTACCTGGATTATTGAGCATGCATCAGGTTAGTCATGTAAATAGTGAGTACAGGAGTGGACAGACATTAACATTGCAACATTAAGGGTAGAGTTGTTTTTTTTTGTATTAGTTAAACAAAACAACATCTGGGCACTTTCAAAGCACTGTGTGTTGTTACACAAAGTTGGGTTTTTGATGCCATTTGATGCAATAAAATCCTAACCAATTAGTCCTTGACATTGTAACTATAATTGTATTTGCACCTTTTAACAAACCTTCTTTAGAACAACATTTATGGTTTAGTTGTATAAAAACTTATTCAACATTCATTATTGTTTTTTCTGTTTCTGTTATATATATATATATTTTTTTTCCCCTAACTTCTGCATTGTATAGTTTTAACCATTCATATATCAAAGCGTTTAGCTTATTCAGGAGATGGATGCTTTGAAGATTTTGTAACTTTTTTAAATTCACCTTTCTTTACTAATACTTTTCCCTTAGAAATACATTTTTCTTTTATTGATTTAATCTTTATTTATAAAGGTAGTCTAATTGAGTCACGAGGACTCATTTTCAAGAGACACCTGTTTGGTGGGGGTTAGTGGCCTTGCTCAAGGGCCCAGAGTGGGGCAAATGAGGGTGGAGGCAGGTGTGGATGTTTCACTTTTTCCATCCATATTTTTGATGTTGTCGGTCCGGGGAGTCTAACCGGCGACCTTCAGATCACAGGCCCACCTTCTCTAACCTCTGCACCACCACTCCCCAATTGAGCTTTGGTCAGTCCTTTAAAAACATTGTTCCCTTTGAAACCTGATTCATTGTACAGTACTTGCTCAATTTGTCTTCTCATGCTACTTTTTTTGTTTTTGGCTAACCTTTTGTTACATTTAGTTTTTAGCTAGCATTTTGCTACTTTTAGCTTTAACAGCTCAACAAGATTCAGCTTATTAAGCAAACGTCAGTAGTCATTCAGCATTCATGTTGCATTTTCACAGAAAATGCCAAATATCTTGTTTTTGTAATTAACCTATATGTAATATTAACATTCTCATCATGTTTAAAGAAGTAATGATGATTAAAAAATGTTTTGCATTGAGGAGGATTTAAAGTGAGAACAGAACGGAACCCTGTTAGATTATTTAAAGTACTTTGATCAGTGAACAAATTATTATTCTAAGTTAATTTGATTCATCTTTTGAATCTTTTTTGAAAGTTCTGTGTTTTTCTGCAGAATGACCCATCTTCAGTGAGAATCCTGAAGCCCAGTGCTAAGGTCAGCCCTGAGCTCATTGTTCCTGCTCAGGTTTCAGAGTCTGGGGTGTTGCCTAGATGTGTATTTGGTGTTTCCCTGGAAACTCTTAAAGAGGATGGGCAGATGGTCTGTGGAGTACCTCATGTGTTAAGAGATATGGTGGAGTTCCTGGAAAAGAACGGTAAGTTTTTTGTATTTATTTTGCAGCTTTATGGCTCTCTTCTCTTTTTCTAAACTCCTTATGCTTTTTGTCCATCCATCCATTATCTTTACCTGCTTCTTCCTTTTTTGGTCGTGGGGGTCACTGGTGCCTGTATCCAGCAATCACTGTGCAAGAAGCGGGGGACACCCTAGACAGGTCTCCACTCCATCACAGGGACACATGGAGACAAACAACCATTCACACTCACACTTAGGGACAATTTAAAGTTACCAATCAGCCTAACATGCATGTTTTTGGTCTGTGAGAGGAAACTGGAGTACCTGGAAAAAACTCACATATGCACGGGGAGAACATGCACTTCACCCAGAAGGGTCTCCAGCTGGGAGTTGATCCGGCGATCTTCTTGCTGAGAGGCAACAGCCCCTTATGCTTTTTGTTTCCAGTTAAAACTACAATTTAAACACCGTTCTTATGTGTCATGACTGACTCAGTTTCCTTACTGCAGGACTGGACCACAGGGGTCTGTTTCGCTTGTGCGGCTCCGTGCTGCGAATCAGGCAGCTGAGGCAGCGGTGGGACTGTGGAGACAGGGTGGACCTGGAGCAACAAGGGGACGTCCCCACTGTGGCTTCACTACTCAAACTCTTCCTAAGGGAATTGCCTGTTCCTGTGGTACCTGAGCCCCAGCGTAGACAGCTGGTCCTGCACTTAACAGGTATTTTTAAAATAGGCATCTCTCTCTCTCTCTCTCTCTCTCTCTCTCTCTCTCTC